TTTTATATAATGAATCACACTATATAGTGAAGTTTTTTGCCAAAACAAACTCTTCCTTATATCGAGCGCCAACTGTATATCAACTAGAATTTTTGATGTTGAATTTTCTATCTATAAATAATTAATAATAAATATAATATGATTGTGTAACAGTTCTTTCTGATTGTACGCTGCTAGATCTAAAAAAAAGTAATTAATAATTAATAATGTAATAGATATAATAAATAAATACAGTCGTGCAATTCTTTCTGATCATACATCACTAAATATGGCCACATAACAATTCTTTCTGATTTAACCATTAACCTTTGGAAAAAGAAAATCTCCTAGATGAATTGAGATAAATAATACCTTTTAATATTAATAATGCCACTCTCCTAGACAAATTGAGATTTTAATATTAATAATTACATTCTCTCCCAGATAAATAAATATATAAACAATAATTCTTTATAATATAGTTATTCATTTTTTCCTATAATATTTATTACTTACTTTCATAAAATAATAGATTGTTGAATCCAATCTGCATAAAATTCTTGACATGCTATTAATTTCTATAAAATAGTTTTTCGCGAACCTCTCTAAAACTTATTAACAAACACCCCCCACAAAGTAATGACCATATGAAAGCTTAAAGTATTTTACTAAGGATACCGGCTGCAACTTTTGATGATAGTTGCTACCACCTTTGCGTCATATAAAAATGATTGCAACCACTGGTTGCAACCACCTTTACGACCATTTTGTTTCCTTTTTTGGATTGCGACATGGAACACTATATTTTACACCTCTTCAGTCACTAACAGGTCTTTTAAAGCGATATTGAAAAATAATCTGAGCCTTGAAGTGAAAAAGTGACACCATTTTTAAATAGCCATAGATTTATATAGATAAGACCTTTCGATATGAAAGAGTATTCATTAGAAAGCTTTAATGTAGTATTTTCATTTTACTCTGACAACGAAGTTGGAGTTTATTATAAAAATAACGAGATATTTTAAAAAAATTCATGTAACACAAATTAGAAATTTTTTATTTAATATAGAAAATAATTTGAAAGGACATGTCACACAACTGGTATTATTAATATTAAATATTAACAACATTTTTAATCGAACATGTTGTTAACTATTTCTTGGCAATGACACTTGTATATAATGTCATTTTTTTTATTTATTTAAATGCTGACGAATTTATTATGAAATGACAGAACAAGAAATTGTAAACATAGTGTTGGGGCAATCTGAAGTTAAAGATAATGAGAGTGTTGATAAGATAGGCGAGCCAATTGTAACAAATACAGAAGCTATAAATGGTTGAAAATGCGCTTAAATATATACAACAAAAATATTTAGAAGTTGATCCTCAAATAATTAAAAATATATAAATATATTGAAGTTAAAAAGAGAAAATTTCTTATAGAAGTACCCAAGAAGCAAAACAATGTTGCATTGATGAATTTATGAGTTGACAATAATAATAGTATTATTATTATGTTATATTTTGTTTTTTATGTATATACAAAATAAAAAAATTTTTTTTGTATATACACATTTAATTTGTATCACATGATTTGATCATAAGTTTCGATTTAGCGGATCTCTCGATTTAACGGATAAATTTTCTGGAAAAAAATATCCGTTAAATCGAGACTCACTGTGTAATACAATATCGATCCCTGAAATTTTTGGTAATACCAATGTTCACTTTGTCTGGTTTTGTTGCAGCATGCACACACGAGAATTGACTGTTAAGATATCTAAATCTAAATCTAAATCAAGACTTTTAAGAAGGTATATTTTTTTTTATATAAGATTCCAAATAAAAAAAAATTATTTTTTATTTTTATAATAATAACAATAAATAGTATCAAAAGTCTCATAATGATAGATAATAAATGTTATAATATTTAGAGGTTTGTGAGGAAGTTACCATTTTTAAATGCAAAAAATTACTGTCCAGATCTACAACACTTCTCTCGTTATTATCTACATTTTCATTATTAAAAAAAATGTAAAGCCCAGTATAGAACTAGACTAGTGAATATTTATTAGCCTCGTGATAATTTACTACTAAGTTGCAATTTGATACAATTCGGAATATCTTTCCTTTTTATCTTGTACACAATACCCGCTATTTTTAATTATTTATTCAAAAATTTTTGATATAAATTTTAATAATTCTTCAAAAAAACAATACACAAAAAATGGCAACTCTACAAAAAAATACCCCTTCTCCTCCAAAACCATGGGAAAGAGCCAATAATAATAATAACAATAATAGTAACATACAAGCAACAGCAACATTAAATGGATCAACAACAACACCAGTAGCAGCAGCACCTTTGTCAAATTTTCAAAATTCACAAAAATGTCCCGTAATAAACGATAGTAGCATCAACAGCAATAGTTCATTACCGGCTGTTCCACCTCGACCTACTACTACATCAATGAACACTAGCATAGCAAATAGAAGTAAGCTTTCAAATCATTAAATATGAATTAATTAACAATGTTTTTGTATAAATATTAATTTACATGCATATATATCTGTACATACATATTATATATAGATTATGGATCTTATGGTACAGGGTATTCACCACATTCAAATTATAATAGTTCTTATAATACCACATATGGCAATTCATATGGTGGTTATGGGTCGTTGTCACCACATTCTAGATATGGATCAACGTACTCCTCCTCACCTTACAATGGATTTGGTGTTGGGTATGGTAGTGGTGGTTCATATGGCTCACCATATAATCGTTTTGGTGGAATGGGAATGATGGGACCACCACTGCCAGGCGGGCAATTTGGCAGACCAGATGATATGATGACGACGATGTCGCTAACGCAAAGAATCGAAGCCAACACAGCAGCAGGGTTTCAAATGATCGAATCGATGGTGAATGTTTTTGGCGGTTTGGCACAAATGTTAGAATCGACCTACTTTGCTACACATTCATCGTTTATGGCGATGGTTGGCGTGGTGGAACAATTTGGTAATTTGAGAAATTATTTAGGACAAGTTTTAAGTGTTTTTGAATTGATTAGATGGTTGAAATATTTATTTTATAAATTGACAAATAGACAATTGCCAATAGTTAATGGCGGTGGTGGTGATGGTGGTAATGAGTTGAGTTTAACAGATTTTCAACAGTTTCAGAGTAGTGATGGTGGTGGTGGTGGTAATAGTAGTATTGATAGTAATAGTAGAAGAAGATATTCTAGACGACCTTTAATATTTTTTATAATTGCTGTATTTGGGCTACCATATCTTATGCATAAATTTATACGCGCTTTTTCTGCTGCTACTGACAGACGTCAGCAACAACAACAACAACAAAATCAATTTAATTTTTCAAATGATAATTCATTTTCTTCTGAAAAAATAATAATACAACAACAAAAAAATGGACAAATCTCAAATATTAATAATGGTAATGGTAATGGTGATAATAATTTATTAGCAAATCTTGAAATGTGTCAAGCACTCTATGATTTCAGGGGTGAGACACCAATCGAATTAACGTTTCAACGTGGTGATATAATAGCTATTATGAGCAAGGTGGATGATACGTGGGGACAACCTTCTCAATGGTGGAAAGGCCGATTAAGAAATGGCGAGCAAGGATTTTTTCCAGCAAACCATGTAGAAATTATTAATAAAATCAATAAAGAATAGAATAAATAGAAAGTATTATATAATATAGAATTTATTTAAATGTATTATTGCAATAATAATATAATAATATTAAATAATATTTAAACGTTTTACTTGTACATTTATTATTATTACTATCATTCTTGGTGTAAAATATAAAATTATTTTTTTAATTAAAAACAAAAACAATTCTAGCTTCATTAATATCATTTTATTCATTAATAGTTAAAAATTAATAATTAAATTTTTTTTCTATTTATTAATTAATATAAAAAAAAAATTATTATTAAAAAAAAATAAAAAATATATACATATTGATTTATAAAATCTAATAATAAATTAACCATTGTTTCGTTTATTGTTTGTTTATTCGTGAAGAATAATAATAATAATAATAAAACATATATGTATCATTATTATTATGAATAATCCATCCAAAAAAATTGTCCATATGATGAACGTGCAAAAAACATTACGTTATTTATATATTATGTGTGTGTATAATTATGTTGTGATAAATTCAATATTTTTATAATTAATAAAGATGATGATTTAACATAGTTTGTCTGCATGAATCTCTTGAGATTAACTTACGAGTTAATTTTGCATCCCATCCCATGGAATTCGGAACATTAGGTGTCTAATTAACAATAATATTACTATTATTAAATTCATGTTAAAATTCCTTTTTTTTTTGTTTAATTAATAATAATATTTAATTATTAACCAATTATTCTTGGTATGCCAATATGCCAATAAAACAAACATTTGTACTAGTAGGATTTCTTATATCATTTATATATATATATATAATTGAATTTGAATTATATAATACCATCAAATACCATCAATGCTAACCATTAATGATATCTCATTGTCCCGTCGTTATTCACCGATAAAAATGAAAATCTATCAGATAAAATTATTTTTTTGCCATACGTTCATTGTTTTTTTTTTGCAAGTATAAAAAACCATTCGATATAAATTTTCCGAATTTTTTTTATTTTTTCTACAAATTGGATTCTTTAAAAAAAAAAATATTAAAATTAAAATTTGAATTTTTTTAATATCAGGTAATTTCCTGTTTCTCATACAAGTTTTTTTTTTTTTTTAATTACATCTCTGCATATACATATTGTCTTTTTCTTCATTGTCAACAATTTTGATTGATTGCTTGATTTTTGATTTTTTGTTTATTGCTTATTTGTTTATTGTTTTTTTGCCTCTTTTTTTTTAATATATATACATTATTTTGACGTTATTTTTACGTTGTGGGCGTCATCTTTTCCATATGCGATTTCTATCGCTAGTTCCATATACAGGACGATAATCAATTGTTATCGCCTTATTCACACAATCAAATCCCACCAATGAATCAAAAGCTTCGAATAGCAAGCTTTAATATCCGATATGATTCTAAGGGTATCGATCCATCCCCACGAGCCACGAATGAAGGTTTCATAATCAATCAGAAGCTAGAAAAACGTCAAGCAAAAGAACAACCGTGGAATATTAGAAAATATAAGGTTGCTGACACTATACTGTTTCATAAGATTGATGTCATTGGCATACAGGAAGCAATCTATTCGCAAATTAAAGATTTGGAATCGTTGTTGGCTAAAAATAATGATGATGATTGGGGCTGGGTTGGCGTTGGTAGACATGATGGCAAACCAGATGGAAATGAAGGGGGCGAGTTTACCCCTATTTTTTATAACAAGTATGTGTGGTACTTGTTGAATTTGGGAATTGTTATTATAATTAGGCTGAATTGAATAAATATAATCAATTTGTTTATCTTAGAAATCGACTGAAATTATTGGATTTTGAACATTTTTGGCTTTCTGAAGTAAA